CGACCAAGCGTATCACATAGTTTCTGCTGAGGAGGCTCTACTCACTGTCTTCTCATAGCGGGTGTTTATCCACACCAAAGTGAGGACGAAAAGCCAATATCCGCATTGGTGAGCCACTGGCAGTGCACCCAAGGAAGTTGGCTACAAACCCTGATCCCAAACCAACCAAGAGAATACGTACGAACCACACACCCTCCTGGTTTTGACAGTGCTCACCGGATCAATTGGACATTGAGGTGCATTGGGTACTTTGGACGTTTGATCTCGACCGATGAACTGGACACCGGCCCCCAATGGATTGCAGTTTTCACACGCCACCCACTGCCTTGAGGGTCAGGCTTTGACTTGCCGAAGGCTCTGGTTGTGAATTCCTCAAGAAAATTCACCTGATTTAGTCCGGGCAACCAAGCAGTACCGTGCCTTCGAGTAAATCATGGACCTTTTTCTTATTGTACCGTGATTTTTAGTACACCGTGTGTAAAAACATACAATATATACTCGTTGTCAAGATGTATGCTCATGTTGAAGCAGAATGGACGCTGTACGCCTTACTACAAATGACCATTGTCCTCACGACGCAACTACCAGTAGCCGTCCTTTATATTGCTCCACTTTCAGTGTGAGTTATATTTTAATGTAATCGAAGTCAAACACCCAAAATGTGTCTGTACTCATATTTACGATTCACATTCTTATTTGTTCAACTATCAAACAGATTTTGTTATGAAACAGCAGTATCGAGAAAATACACACGCCTAGAGAGAGGACATGTAGCACACCGTGTGAGGAAACAGAAACCGATTCGAGCGTCTCTGTTTCGCGAAGGTGGCAGTGCGCGGTACATCCTTGATCTGAGACAGCTTTGGTTGCGTCAAACGTGCAGCACGTCCGGTGTAAGTAAGGCATAAGAATAGTAGTCAATAGTTGGTGAAATCGAGGTTCACCGATTCGGGGCTCAAGGTTGGCAATACTATGCTTGAAAATCGTGTAGTCTCTGATGAAATGAACAGTACAAATAGATGTGCCCGGGTTTCATCGAGTCTCCGTTTGATAGACTAAACAGTTGGTGCACAAACGATGTGAGATGGAGGGGTGTTACAAGTACTGTACACGCCGACTATAAAAGATTGACGCCGGCATTCCAGTCCACACTTTGGAGTCAGTAATTTGAGACGATCTCCCCTAAGATGTATGTTGGGCGACAATATGAGCAGCGGCCGACATGCATGGCCTGGGTTCTGCAGTACTTGATATACCAAAACCAAGTCTCTTAAAATTCGGCGGTACCGAGCATAATGTAGTCCCAATGATCGCAATCTCTGCTCATATGTAAGGCAGTTCAATCCCTTGGCCATCTTGGTGGCAATCCTTTGTGGGTGTGCCAGCATCACGTTGTAACCATGGCATCCAAGCTTGGATGGCGTGCTCTGTGTACGGTTCAATGTATACTCACCAACNCACCAACGGATAGCATCTTAAACTGGACTGCCTTAACCCATAAGATTGCAAGTTCCGTAAACCAATTGAATGACAAACAGCTGAGCGTGCAATTTGAAACTGCACTGGTGAATCATTTAAACGCATTTTTAGCCTGACCGTGCGAGATCATAGAATTCAGTTCAGTCTTACGTCCGCATCTGGTATTTTGATCAAGCCTCCCCATTCCCATATTAACGCATTTAAACACTGGAACATTTATTCCGTTAGAGGAT